AATCTTAGAAGACGCCTCGATCTATCTCTATAGATCTTTATTCCTAGAATATAGGCCGCTTCTCCTAGGTCCTTCATAGAAAATTGCGTTCCTAGCCAAGACTTAACGTCTTGCAAGGTAGGAATGTCATTCCCTATAAGGAGAATGTCATCCACGTACAGCACCAGAAAAACTACTGTGCTCCCACTAACCTTCTTGTAAACACATGGCTCGTCTTCGTTCTGTGAGAAACCACACTTTTTGATTGTCTCATCAAAGCGAAGGTTCCAGCTCCTCGAAGCCTGCTTCAGTCCATAAATGGACCTCTGAAGCTTGCACACCATCCTCGGGTTCCTTGGATTGACAAAACCTTCGGGTTGTGTCATGTACACATCCTCGGTCAAGTTCCCATTAAGGAACACGGTCTTGACATCCATTTGCCATATCTCATAATCATAATATGCGGCTATGGCAAGTAGGATCCTGATGGACTTCAGCATAACTACGGGCGAAAAGGTCTCATCATAGTCAATACCATGAATTTGACGGAATCCTTTCGCCACAAGTCGTGCCTTATACGTGTAGAGGGCGAGGTAATCTTCCTCCCTTTCGTGATCAGACGTGTTCTTCGATTGATACAGGCCCCGGATCGATTGAGGTAAGCGTTCTAACGTTTCTACGATTCATTAGAAGCATGGTTCTAGGGTTTATTAAATTTTTGTTTTATATCCGCTGCGCAAACCCTAGAATCGATCTCTTAGGAATAGGATTCGCTCATGAGATCCCAGGAAACCCAACAGAGTTAACATAGAGCTGCTTCACCCGGCAGTCGGCGACATTGGGGATCGATGTCTGAAGTGGGTATAAGGATGGCGGTACGTACCGAGAGCCGCGATATCGGTGATCGATAAGGAGTATGAAGATCACTTGAGGTCCTCGCAAACGATTTTTCTTGGACTGTTGCGTCTCGTATTCGACACGGGTATGAATGAGTTGTTGTATTTATCTATGTGTGAGATACATGTAGAGACGATTGACGGATTATGATTGAGATTGTTGATTGAATGCACGATGATTGAATTGATTGATATATCTTGTCGCATGTATATGTATAGTATTGACTATATTGATTGGCCATTTTCAATAAAAATAGAAATCCCGGGTTACACCCGAATTCCTCCCTAAACACATAACTTAGAACGTTGTTATGCAATGTTTCAAGTCGTGAGTAGCAATAGTGACTGAGGGAGACGTGGGATCCGGTTACAACTCGACTTCCCGATCATGTATAATCACTTTGGACTTATTCTATTTTCCAAAAATAAAAGGTGGTGACCTTCGAACTTTTGTATTATATTTTTCACCACTCATATTATGTAATGGTATCTTTGCATACGTATCTAAACATACTCATATATTTCATAATGTCTTCCGTGGTATTATATTTAAAATGGATAGTTTTAATTTTTCCGCGAATTTTACAATTCAAAATTTTTCGACTTGATTTTAATAAACTTATCAGGATGCGAGTTACGGATATCATACAGATGATGTCATCGTAGATTTCTATCAGAAATCAGGCGCGATTTGGCTTAAAACTTTTACCTTTGTCCCTTTATAAGAGATGTGTATGTACTATAACGACTAAAAACCCTCTTGATCTGCGTAAATCTTTCAAAGAGTCTTCATACAAGATTATGTATGTGTGTATTAACATTAAAAAAACACCGATTCATAATTTAAATCAACATTATGATCAAATCCTCGGTCTATATTCATAATTAAAAATGTATAACTTGCTAAATAGATTTACCATTTTCACTAGGCATAACACAATCCATATGTTGGCTTCACAATCTAATGACCTTTCTACTCTAAGCGAAAAATTCAAGACCTACGTATTGATTCATAAGTCTATTATTTTTTTCCTTATCGTATCGACTAATAAACTTATCAAATATTTTTATATTATATTCTTGAATCCGTTAACCCACTGAATGAAAGTTCCGACCTCAAAATATATTTAAGACTTGATATTCGAGGTTTATACAATATATAACATGCAACCAATGTATTTGCGTGCAAAACTATTTAATTCCAAGTTGTTGCACAATTTGGCAACAAATCTTGGTATAGTACTACAATATTTTCTCAATATGCAAACTGTGCATTTCTGGTGCATTTCTAGGACGAACTTACTTTAATATAAAATAGAGATATGTGCATCTATTATTTAACTAAAAAATTTATAAATTTTATAAAGTTTCAAATAAAAGTGAAATAGTGATGAATGTAGGACGTGACAAGTAGAATACAGTATTCAAAAAATGAATGTTTAATATAAACATATTCGAATATGAAAATTATATGGTTCTCCATAATCGTAGTATATTATATCAATATCTACTGTCGTGGTGAGGTACGTATTTGATTTTTTTTTCTGTTTTTATATTTATTTTTGTGTTTTACAAAAGTGAATGATTTTGTATTAAAAAATATTTTTGGTGGACTTTCAAATTAATTCTCTGTGTTTGGGAGCAACATCATTTTCTCTCCAATGGACTGTGGCAGATAAATCATTTAAATTAATAAAACGTTAATATGTTTATTTGGTATAACGTATATTTTTGTTTAATAAAGTGTTTTTTAAACATCTCTCTTTTGTTATAAAGTATTGGAGGATATTTCATATATACGGCCAATAGACAAATGGTATGTTAAAATTAATATAATAATTTTTTTAAAATTCTTGGTCTGATTTAGTAACCTTGAGCGAATTAGTAAATCTTACTTTCTTCAACTTTTGTTTCTTAATTCAAATCAACATTATAAAAATGTATAACCTACTAAATAGATTTATCATTTTCGCTAGGCATATCTATTATCTAGTGATGTCAATTTGGGTTGTCCAACCTATTTAAACCCAATCAAAATGGGTTGGATCAATTAGTGGGTTGTATTGGGTCAATCCAATAATAATTGTTTAATGAGTTAGGTTTAACCCACAAAACTTATATAGCCTCAATTGACCCATTTAATTTACCTTAGTTATTTAATAAGTTATCTTAATTGTTATATGGTTAAATAGAAAAAGTGTTCTATGAGAGTAAACTAAAAATAGAAAAGGTTTGTACGAAAGATTATTAAAAAAATATCTTAAAATATACGTCCAACCAAATTATATTTTAAGTTTTATAATAATTTTTTTAATTAAAATAAATAATAAAAAATTAGAGAGAATTAGTCTATTCGAAATATATGTGTGTATATACACAATGTTTGTTCATCGCTTATACGTGGATATACACACGTATAAGTCATGTACATAGATATTTATATAATATTATATATTATATGTATAGTTATTATGTGTTATAATATGCAAGTAGACATTTACATCTCTGGGAATGTGGACTGGTTACAGAGTACAAAATTTCATGTAACAATATCATTTTTAATGGTTACCATAAAATATTAAAATATTTAGGAAGAAAAACATTTTATGTAAGAAAATATTATATGTTATATATATGTAAAAAATTAAAGATTCATAGAAATATAAAAATGATTTATCAATCATGAAAAGAAAATTGTTGTTTGAGTCAATTGAACTGAATGGGTTTAGACCTATTTAATCCATTAAATAATTGTTGTCCAAAAGAATAATCCAAAAGAGATAATAAATAGGTTGGGTTGGGTAACTATGTAAGCCAACCAAATTGACACCACTAGCATATCACAATCCATATGTTGGCGCATTTATTAACATAATGATACATGTAATTAATTTTATGAATTTTTGTTATGGGACTGGTCAAAATAAAACCAGGGTCTGAAATGTTTAGTGAAAATGGTGAAGGTCTAAAACCAGCGTTTGAAACGTTGGGCGGTTCCGCCCACAGCGTTCTCTTCAAACAAACGCGACTTATGCCCAAACGCTCCTTTAACGCCACTTCTCCAGAGAGAGGGAGGCAGAGACGATGGTGACGCTGATCGTGGCTACGACCTATGACCCGGCGTCCATCAACCCGGCGGCAAAGCTTCTCGCAATGCCCGGATCGATCTCCGGCCCCGTATTGCCGCCGGTAATCATTTCCGATCACCCGTTAGCTTCGTGTTGTCCGAGCGATCCGACTAATTCTGACCGGTTTCTTTGTTTGATCAGGACATCAAAAGCTTCTCAAACCAGCAAATTAGGGTTCTTCAGCACGACAGACATATTGTGGAAGAGGATGATCTCGACCTGCGATGGGAGGAAGCCACCGGGGAAGCCGTGGACGAAGTCATCTTCCTCAGCCGCCACACCGCCGTCTCTAACCGCCCTGCCCTGACTGTTCACCCGATCGGTACGCGAAATCTGTATGATCGTTGGTTCGAATATTTCGATCTGGGTCTGTCTGAATCATGTCTGAAATGTAGGAGTTCCTCACTTGCGGGAAGGAGATGTGACACCGCAGGGAGGACGGCCTGGTTGGGCGGCGCCGCCCAACCCTAGGATAGGTCCATGGCTGCGTCTTCTGAAGAAACTCGCCCAAGCTCACGGATTAGTTCCTGAATTTGAGGTAATTATTGCTTTGCTTCTCTGAAATTTGTTTCATTTCGTTAGCTGATGAGAAAATTATCTAAGAAAACGCATTGTATTTGGTTCTGGTTGTAGATTACATTGGAAGGCACTCATCATGGGCCAATAACGAGTAAGCCGACGATGTTCCTGGAGATTGGTGAGTTTCTTCTGACCTAAGTTAGTCTTTTTCAGCATTATAATAGGAAAAAGTTCTTTCATTCCATGGCTCTCTGCTTTCTCTAATGGCTTGGATGTTCATATTGCTTCAAGAAAATATCTGCCGAATGGATGTTTGAATTCATTGATTTGTTTATCATAATGGGTTATTCAATCCATCTCTGGTGTATGTTGGAACACTTGTTTTCTTGGTTTATTGGTAGCTTTGGAATTGAACGTTGATACCGCTTTTCTATAAAGATCCTTGTGAATGTTTGCCCCAGGAAGCAGTTTCCACTGTATGAATATATTTCTTGGATCACCCTTGGCATTTGATCCCGATAAAAGAGATGTTTCTTGGTTTGTAACCCGGTATTTTGTCCGGTGTAGGTAGTACAGAGGAGTACTGGAAGAGGCAGGACGCAGCTCAAGTCATGGCTCTGGTAAGTGAAAGTTGCGTATGTTATCGTTTCAAGAGTCGGACAAGATCCTTATCATCATTGTGCTTCTATGAGTTCCTTTTATACCGTAATCATCTGTTGTGGATCAAGAACATGTTTGAGGAAATTCAGCTGCTTTGGTCGAGAACTGAACATAAAACTGCTCTGGATATCCGAGTTTGCCTCCCTTTAGTAATGCGTTGTACTTTATCTTGATATGACCGAAAAAGTCTTGTTACGAGCTGGATTCGAACCAGCACCTCTGGGTAAAGCACACGAATATCCAGAAAAACTACCTTTCATTCTGATCGTGACTTTGGTAACCTGGTTCGTCTTGGTTCATTTTAGTTGATGTGGGAAGGACTTGGCCTGGGAGGAGGTGCACCTGTTGGAAACTGGAACAGGTATCCGAAATAATTCAATCGTTTAGCTTAACATAACATAAGTAATACTTGTCTAGCTACCATTCTGGTTGATGAAAAGACTTACAACATGAATGATTTTGGTTGCAAGTGAAAATGAAAACAAAAAGGGAAAAGTACTTCTTGGTATTGGGGGTGGACATTACGCTCCTCGTCACATGGATATAGCTCTGTAAGTTGTTAAACGACTTCTTTCACGTTCAAACACGTTTCTTGTCCTTTTTTTTCCAACTCAACATCTGTATCTTATTGATGGTTTGTATTCACAGGAAAGACGAGGTTTGGGTAGGTCACTTGCTTTCTGGATACTCGTTACCGATGGAAGATCCAAAGCAAAACAAGGCAAACCTGGAAGAGAAAGGTATCGGTGGGACTTGGAAACAGTCGATTAAGGCAGCATTTGAGGCAACGGAATCAGCTTTCCCGGGAGGCGAGATTTTGGCTCATCTCGACCACAAGTAAGTGGAAGACTTCTGTCCAAAGACAGGATACTATGATCAGATGGATGCGTCTGTTTGTTTGTTAAAAAACGAGTAATGGGTTATTGGGTGTTGCCGCAGGAGCTTCAAAGGTTGGCAGAAGAATGCCATTACAGAGTTTCTGTCGGAACAGAGCATCAAAGTCGGCAAGCCAAATGACTTCTTCACCTGATCTTCTTCCCCTCCAATTCATCATATTTATAACTTCTTTATCCTTGTCTTAAGGACAGAACTGTAGTGGTTTCGCAATGTTTACATCATTGGTAATGTTTCTTTGTAAGACTATGGTGATATATTAGCAGATAATATATCCATAATTCCAATCTAATAAGCTTTCATTCCCGTTCTAAAACATGTTGACGTTCCATAATATACTCAATATTCATATGTATCCGAATGGAAACTGTCATCATGCAAGTTACATTCACTTTATAACCTGGGGAATTGCAAACAACACGACATATGCATTAAAAAATTGTATAAATACTATAAATTAAGAAAAATAAAAATCGTTGGAAGAAATGATGCATGCATGCACCTACTCTTAAATTAACGTATTATTAATTTTTTATAACCAGAAAATTCACTTCACCTCCGAGTCTTCCACCCAATTAATTCCCCAAGCTCGGAACCATCAATTGTCGAAGATAAATTATTGTTTATCTAATTTAACATATTATTGTTGTATCTGAGATGACATATTATATATATACACATATGGTAACTTAGTGGCGGATTTACGATCTTACGGGTGTTTTTACCGTCCCATGTTATCTTAGACGAAACATTATACTTCGGTCGCGTACAATACTTGGGTCTTCATCCATTTTATTTTCCAACGAAAATTAAGAGAGAAAATGGAATATAATAACCAAAGTAAGGATTGGTGGGTTACAAGTTGTTTTTTTTTATATAATCGATTGGTGGGTTACAAGTTGTGCAGTATTTAAATTATATTTGCTCATTATCGAATAAAGTTGTGGTTTCAATTTCAAGTTTGCCTAACTCACGTCTGGTCGACGTCTTCACATGCGACGCGACGCATGATTATGTATATTATAATCTTTATTTCTTTAGAAAAGAGCAAATATGAGTCGATCGATTCATTTCCTGGCATCGAACTAAATGTTTATTTAATATTTAGATAGCCACCAAAAGAAAACTAACTGACTCACGTTAAAAACACCATGCAAGTATTATTTAATTATTTATCTAGAGTTTTCTCCATTTCTGAAGAAGAAAACTATAATCGCAAGATTATATTAAATACACTCGTACCTTTTAATTTCCAAATGTTAAATATTTTAATTCGGATAACTAAATCCAACAAAGCACAGCCGTTGGATTAACATCGAACAGTTGTCTCCAGCGGCACCGAGATCGCACGGTTGTCCTAACTGGACCATCGTGATTAAAGCGCCACGTACGCACGCCAAATCATTTTTCTACGTTTCCAGATTTGCCCTTCTCCACATAACGACGGAACAGGCTTGCCATTGAATGCGCAAGTTAGCAGCACAGATAACATCTGGATGCCACGTGTGTTTATCGGGTGCAACGCGACGTACCGTAATAGGTTACGCCTTTGGGCGGTGATCATCCTCGCTTCCATGAAAAAAAGAAATCTTTGCAAGAATCGTACTTTCTCGAGTAAAGAAACAGAGAAGACAAAATATAAACAGCCTCGCTCAATTCCTTCTCAGATAGTTGACTTTTTGCTCCCTGGATGTTTTTTTCGTCTAAACCCTAAAAGAAGACAAAAAGTCAAATCCGCGGAAAGAGATAAAAGCTTGAGGTGTCGTTTCGTAGATCCGATTCTTCGAAATTATTCTATTCGAGACTTTTTCATTCCTCCAAGGATTGTTTGGCTGCTGGGAAAATCGTCCTTCGAGAAAAGTTTCCATTTTTTGTCCGCTAAAGTGTAGAAGAGAGGCAAGGAAGAGAGAGTTTTTGTCCACCAGAGTGCTGATCTGTTAACCGAGAAGGGTTTTGCTATTTTCCGGGAAAGTTTTCAGCTTTTCCGGGATAGTGAGGAAGAGAGAGATTAGTGAAGAAGAGGTAAGTGCATTTTCGCTGCTCTCGCTACAGTTTTTTCTCTGTTTTCCTCGTGGAGCTGTTGCAAATGAAAGGAAATTCACTCGAGAAAGTGTTTTCCTTTTCCGGGAAAGTGAACTAGTTGCACGTGAAACTTTCTGTTTTTGATTCATTGAAAAACAGTGCCGTTTCCTGTTGTGTGGTGCTTGTATATTTTTTTTCCATGGCTAGGGATTTTCTTGGGATTGCGAGGTTTGTTAGTAATTGAATGCGAAAACAAAGGGCAGTGAAGTTGATTTCATTTGAGCTCTCGATATCCCTTTTGAATCAGGGTTTTTTCTTCTTTTTTGGGATTTTTTCTCTCAAGAAGCAGTGAACCGTCTGGCTTCGGCCCTTGTTTTCTAGGTGGGATTTTCGAGCTTTTATTTTATTTTTGGTGCGTATATGATCTGAATTTTGTGTACTTCAAGCTTCTGGGGTTCAGACCCTCGTTTATTTTCTATTTTGTTTTTGATTTTTATGGTTTGGAAACTAATTTTAGGTTTAGAATTTGGGAGACATGCCCTGTTGATGAAGCTCAGTACCTGTAAAGCTCATAAAGTAAGGTGTGCAGTTTCAAAGTCTCTTCCTTTTCTTCCTCTGCAGTGTTCTTTGGATGATTAGTCTCTGAATTCTTAATCTCTGGTTCATTGTTTAGCCTAAATTCTCCATGAGACCTCCCTGAAATAAAAGCGTTTTAAGTAATCTCCAAAGGGAACTGATTTAAAAAATGATGCAGTTGCTGGGAGATCTGACTTCATTTCTGATATTCCCTTGTTTCGATATGCTTTCATTAGCTGTATTGGTGAAGATATATGTATATATTGAAACCCATGTGGGGGTTGTTTTTGTATTGCTTTTCTGGGGATACCAGTTGTAGATAATTTGCTTCTATGTTTTATTTTTTTGAGAATTGGGTGGATTGCCCCGCAGCTGTTGGATCAACAAAAGCTTGTTGAAGCTTTGCAAAAAGGTTCAAAGTTTTCTCCTTTTGTCCCTTTTCCTCATCCATGGCGATCCAAAAGATTCCTCATTCTTTGCCTGATGTTTTGGCCATGGATCAAACTTTTCCTCTCATACCATCGTTATCTTTTCTGTAACTATGGCTTTCTGTCTTCTGCTAACCGGATAATCATGGGTTTGATTACAAAAAACGTTAGCCTTTCTTCTTGCACTAGTCACTCTGGTCCGTCCATATCCAAGACTCTCAGCAGAGTCTTACATTGCTTTTTAAACAAAGGTGTATTAGCGAAGTGAATTCAGATTAAGCTTTACGGCCACACGGAGAATTGGCCCGGGATGGTGGTTCGCCTTTGCCTGCATCTTTTTGTTTTTCGCTTTAGTGAAAGTTGGAAAGTGTTTATGGATGGAGGTTGTTAGTTGTGTCTTATATCGTCTAATTGTCTGATTGTGATTGGATTTACTCAATGATTACTTTGGACTTGTGGGTTGGGATTTTCTGACAGTGTGTGTAGACATAAAATGTTTTGATAGGCTTAGCAGTTTCTGTCACAATCTTTTGTGACTTTAGTTGAACTGCTCTTGCAGCTAAATACATATGCAATTTCTGAGGTTGCTTCTGTATCCAGCTTTGGATGATCAGATGCTTTTATTGATTCCATTCTCGAGAATGAAGTATGCTTGTCCTCTTTGCTACATTATTCTTTGTTATATATCTCTTTCAAGGCCACTAGGAAATGTGCTTGATATACCTTATTGATAAACTTTTTTGGTTGACGATTCAGGACGTTCTTGTTCTTGAAGATCTTGCGTCTGCTGTGTTGAAGAATTGTCCTCTTTGACACGAGATTTATGTCTTGAACAATGAGAGCAGGTAAGCCTTTCTCCTTTCCAAGTGTGTGTGTGTTGTCTCTAGTCTTTAACTGTTTCGTGGATCAAATGGGTTTTCTCGGTGTATCTTTTTATTTGGAAGCTGAGATATTTTCACGTGTATCTGCAGATAACGAACATGTTTTTGGTAACTCAGTAGAGAGTCTCGAAGATGATGCTAAGCCTCATTGTCACCCTGATAACAACTGGGAGGACAATGAGCTGAAGATTCCAGGAAACGGGAATGAGAATGCATGTGACTTGTTCGTTGATAAATTGGACGACGAGAATGGTGGAGACAAAGTGAATGGTGATCATTTTTCTGCGGAAGGGGATTCGCTCGAGAAGGAGGGTTCAGTCTTCTACATGGACAAAAGTGTTACGGCCTGCGACTTGCCTGAGATAGTAGTTTGTTACAAGGAAAATACTTATCATGTTGTCAAGGATATATGCGTCGATGAGGGTGTGGCTGTGAAGGAGAAGTCCTCGTCCAACGAGAACGATTCTTGCAAGTGTATCTCTGATCAGTGTGGCTCAGAGGATCCAGTGAAGGCACAAGCAATTGTGAATGCTTTTACTGCAACAGCAATGGGAACCTCGGGATCTAAATCTTCAGACATCATTCCCGTCGAAGTCAATGAACATTCTGAGTTCTGTAATGCCTCTGTGTCTGGTTCCGAGAGTGTGGCAATGCACCGAGATGTGAAAGATGCGACAGAGAAGACACCGGATGTACAAGAGCCTTCAACGGGAGACTGTGCTGATGCCGGTGAATCAAGAAAACGCGATCAAGAAAATTTGATTGCGACGGGGGAAGTTATGGATTACGCAAACTGCTCTGACGTAGAGGATATGCCCACGTTAGATGCGCCTGAAACCTCGCCGGGAACTGGTTCTGACAAACATATTTGCACACAGGGAAAGACTGAGAACTTGTTGGCCAAGGATGAAGTTGATGCAGAAGGAATCACTACTAAGGATTCTTTAACTCTGGCAGATGTTATGTCAATGGAAGATTGCAAGAAACTTTTCAACCACAACCACAAAAGCCATGGACCTGAAGAACAATGTTCTCAGGTAGCATAACTATATTTCCTCGTTTTTGGTATCGCCTTCTGTGTCGTATGAAGAGAAAATAAGTTCTTTAACGGAAAAAGTTGAATCTACCGAGTTCTTGGATATGGAAAACATGATTTTATGTTGGTGTGACTGTAGGAATCAAGCGGGAAGCGAAGCTTGGAAAGTGGAGCTCTTTCACTTGAGGTTGATGGAACAGAGAACTCGAGAACCGGTGAAGTATCACCTTTAATAATGTTGCGGTCTGGAGAAAACAGCTGCTGCGACAAGAACGATGATTCAAGCAAAGCTTCTCGTGTTGATTCTGAAACAGGGTCGAGAAGTAACGAGCTTCAAAGGATTGAACCCGGGTCCTACTACTACCTGCCCGAGGACCCGGGTGACCATCGTCAATTTCCGAGTCATTTCATGAGCGGATTTGGCGAGACGAGTTTCTCGGCGGCAGAGCCCGTTTCAGGGCATATAACTTACTCGGGTCCAATCGCCTTCTCGGGTAGCCTCTCTGTTCGTTCTGACGGAAGCACGACCAGTACTCGCTCTTTCGCCTTCCCTGTGTACGCACGCACTCCTCTGATTCTGATTCATCTGTGGGAAAATCTTTTTGAGTGATTGGTTCGTTTTTCTCCCGCAGGTTGCAGTCAGAATGGAACAGCAGTCCCGTAAGAATGGCAAAAGCCGACAAGAGACATATCCGGAGTCGGAAAAGTTGGAGAGATGCTCTTTGCTGTTGTAGTTTCTGATCATCATATGCTTAACTGCTGTATTATAGGAAAGGGTTCATGAAAAAAAATGCTTTTTTTCCTCTTTATTATTTATTTATTTATTTATTACTTCATGGGTTTATGATCTGGAAAATAAAATATATTTTTCTCGGGACAGTTTGTAATGGGCAATATGAGTTGGGTTTCAGCCAATAGCTTTTGAGATTGGTCTCATGCGTGTCGGTCGTGATATGTAGTCCAGAGGCTTGTCATAGTTTTTGTTTTATTCATATTAAATTTTCCTTGGTTACAGAATTCGCATTCTTTTTGTGAAGTCGGTATCAGAATCCTCACGGCCACTCCGACACTCGTACGTGCTCGAATCGAAAGACACCGGAGACTTTTAACGAGTTCGGTTACCGAGTTACCTCGGGCCTACATCTCGGCCGGACGGTGCCGGCGAATCCACTAGAACAGAACGGAAAACAACCGAAGACGGTGGTCTCCACAAAACCGGAGACTCACCCACGATGTGTTCAAGAAACAACCGAGAAAGAACAGAATACGCGACGTCTTACCGATCCCGACTCACCTACCTTGAGCCGCCTTCGATCCCGAGCTCCGGCGACGCCGAGAAACTCCTCCGTCGGCATAAACCTCCTTCTCCTTCGCCATCTCCGTTCTCCCTCTCTTTCTCTCTCACACCTCGAACACCGTGTCTCGCAAAAGCCAAAACACATTAGGGTATTAACCCTAAAACGCAAAACGTGGCGTTTTTGGAAAGCCTCTCCCTCAGGTTTATGCCGACGGAGGAGTTTCTCGGCGTCGCCGGAGCTCGGGATCGAAGGCGGCTCAAGGTAGGTGAGTCGGGATCGGTAAGACGTCGCGTATTCTGTTCTTTCTCGGTTGTTTCTTGAACACATCGTGGGTGAGTCTCCGGTTTTGTGGAGACCACCGTCTTCGGTTGTTTTCCGTTCTGTTCTAGTGGATTCGCCGGTCGGCAGAGCCCGTTTCAGGGCATATAACTTACTCGGGTCCAATCGCCTTCTCGGGTAGCCTCTCTGTTCGTTCTGACGGAAGCACGACCAGTACTCGCTCTTTCGCCTTCCCTGTGTACGCACGCACTCCTCTGATTCTGATTCATCTGTGGGAAAATCTTTTTGAGTGATTGGTTCGTTTTTCTCCCGCAGGTTGCAGTCAGAATGGAACAGCAGTCCCGTAAGAATGGCAAAAGCCGACAAGAGACATATCCGGAGTCGGAAAAGTTGGAGAGATGCTCTTTGCTGTTGTAGTTTCTGATCATCATATGCTTAACTGCTGTATTATAGGAAAGGGTTCATGAAAAAAAATGCTTTTTTTCCTCTTTATTATTTATTTATTTATTTATTACTTCATGGGTTTATGATCTGGAAAATAAAATATATTTTTCTCGGGACAGTTTGTAATGGGCAATATGAGTTGGGTTTCAGCCAATAGCTTTTGAGATTGGTCTCATGCGTGTCGGTCGTGATATGTAGTCCAGAGGCTTGTCATAGTTTTTGTTTTATTCATATTAAATTTTCCTTGGTTACAGAATTCGCATTCTTTTTGTGAAGTCGGTATCAGAATCCTCACGGCCACTCCGACACTCGTACGTGCTCGAATCGAAAGACACCGGAGACTTTTAACGAGTTCGGTTACCGAGTTACCTCGGGCCTACATCTCGGCCGGACGGTGCCGGCGAATCCACTAGAACAGAACGGAAAACAACCGAAGACGGTGGTCTCCACAAAACCGGAGACTCACCCACGATGTGTTCAAGAAACAACCGAGAAAGAACAGAATACGCGACGTCTTACCGATCCCGACTCACCTACCTTGAGCCGCCTTCGATCCCGAGCTCCGGCGACGCCGAGAAACTCCTCCGTCGGCATAAACCTCCTTCTCCTTCGCCATCTCCGTTCTCCCTCTCTTTCTCTCTCACACCTCGAACACCGTGTCTCGCAAAAGCCAAAACACATTAGGGTATTAACCCTAAAACGCAAAACGTGGCGTTTTTGGAAAGCCTCTCCCTCACGTGGAGGGTTTAACTTTTCCACCAAATGGGCTTTTAGGCCCAACACTTTTTATAACTCAGATGAATGGTTATTAATATTTATATATCTTGTCATGGTTTGCTCGTATCGTCGTTACAGTCTAACTCTTCAAGCCGTGAGTCGATGTCATATATATACATACATATATATACACTCAAACAATAAACATGTGAATATTTGACACTTGTCGAAGGTGCTTATTGGTAAACGTAACACCCGAGACTTTTATGACCGTAGCCACCCATGTCTTGGGACGTACCAAGCGTGGGCTTGTATTGCATAAACATAATCTTCTCGTTTTAATAAATTTATATTGATCAAAGTGAACGTGTTTGTTGCACTTTTCTTGGAGTTTTTTCCATATTTCGATGAGATTTGGTACAAACCCATCACCCACCCGGTCAACATTTTCCCGGGTTTCCCAAGGCCATTGTCTCTTGATTCACGTCTCAAAACATGCGTTTCCCTTGGTTCACGTGTCACCAAATAAAAACATTATGTTTATGACTATTTATTTAAAACTATATATACATATATATATATATGTTATGTATTTGATGACGATGTCGTTAGGAGCTTAATTCACGAGTTTCATTACATCCCGTATGGCCTTACTTTATGACATAGTTTCGAATTCATTGGATAGGTTTTGTGTAACAAACTATAAAGTGATGTTCTCATGTTTGTCCATTTGGGTAAGGAAGAACTAAGCGTGTGACAAATAAAACACATAGAGAGGTTGAAGTACCTAACATGGATATTTCCATACGAAAACATAGACAGTATGATTTCATCATAAGAAAATTGGCGTATATATATATATATATATATATTTTAAAAAGAGACAATTGTGAGCGTAAATTTGATGAATTGGGTTTGATGAAATGTGATGCTAATTGTAGTGTTTGTCCGAAGACAGAAACCGAGGAACAGCTCAAATGGTGTGAACCTTTTATATATGCCCATATATAAAGATTATATAAATCCCCTATTTTTATAAGCATTTTCCTCCCACTTGTTTTGGAACTCTCTCTTTTGTGTTTCGTGCGCTCTCTCTCTCTCTCTCTCTCTCTCTCTCTCTCTCTCTCTGTTGTATATTGCTTTTTGGGTTGATATAAAGAAGAGAACAAAACACACACAAAATAAAAAGCATTTTCATGCAAAATCTCATCGTTCAAGAGTAGATTAGCTAAAGAAACTATGAAGCTTAGATTCACCGCGATGCTTTGTGTGTTGGCCATCTTATTTCTCCTCACTCCCGTCTCTTCTCTACGACTCATTCTTCAATCGTCCAACGAACGAGGTAATGATGATAACTCTTTCTTCTCGTTCGTCTTATAACCATCCAATGAGATATGCATGGCCATACATAAATTCCACAATGCATATATATATATGTGGAACGTGACATTTAATATATCGAGTCTTGCGTTTTGTCTGAACCCCCAGCAGGTTTAGGGCAGGAGAGCGTTAATGTTAAGGTAGCGCCGCCAAGAAATCTTATGTTCGACGAAGAAGTACTGACTGCAGGAGAACCTACGCATCCACCATCCAGTCACCATAGCAATGGAGTTACATCCTCAGGTATAACCAATCACATCAAAACATTCTCATCTTTTATATGCACATTCCAATCTCACACATATTCTATATATATACGTATATTCACTCGGTATCATGCATATACATTGACCTTCAAACATCATATATATGCATGGGATATGATTGCTTATACGTATATATGTACGTGTCAGTTGATAAATCCTTTGACCATGCCTATAGAATACGAGTCTTTTTGCGAAATACACACGAGAACGTTCTTTTTGGAAGCTCTAGTTTTGCTATGTAATAAGTCGGGCAAAAAATTAATTAATGAACCATGTTACTAAAATCTTTAATTTCATTATCTTTTCAGGAAAAAATAAAGGCAAACAGAAGCAATTAAGCAGAGAAGAAGGAGGAGGAGAGATTGACCCATCGCAGTATTTGTCAATGGACTATCCACGACGTAAAAGAAGACGTCCGGTCCACAACAAATCTCTACCGCTCGGTCCATGAAACATGGACGCTTTTATTTTAATATTATTACATTAATTAGATTAACCTAATTAATTGGAAGTATTTTTTTTAACTCTTGAAAAAAAAATGGTAGTTAATATAAGCTTTTTACTAGCACAAGTTTTGGCCATGTTATTGTAATTAACGGAAACGTGTTTTGGTTTTGTAATATTTAATGGTAATGGCCGACATCGTGGAGCAAAACCCTAAACTCTTGTAACAACTTTGTGCTCGTTATCTCTTTGTTCCATGGTGCGATGTAACGTATGTGGGTTTTAATTTATTACATTTGGACCTTATATATGTGACAAGACCACAAAAAAATGGATCTTTCGAAAACTTGTTCTCATAAATAATTGTTTTTTTTTACTAATAAAGAGGAAATCATGGGTTAGTACCATCACTTATCACTTATCACACCTCATAATAATAATATTATTATTTTCGATGAAAATTCGATTATGTTTTGAAAGTTAAGGTATTTGAACTGGTAATATGTTTATTAGGAGCAAATTTTTTTTGGTGAAAATGAATCTTGAAGTTGGTGCAGAAGAACGCAAATATACGTTACTATTTCGCTAGTTATATATGTGTCTGTATACACACGGGCGGAAAATATAAATGTTGGATACCATGAATGTTACAGAAAATGTCTAAATAGTTTTGTCCAACAGTATTATAATCTGTGTACTTGAAAGAAAAAAAAGAGAGAGAGAAAAGAATACTACTATTGACCATGTCCATTGCATTGTATGAAATGTTCTTATCCGTTATGATGATGCATATATCCTGTATATATAGATACATATATGTGTATATATATATACACATGAACGCATGCATGTATACATGTAAAAGGGAAAAGGAAGAGAACAACAAGTCATCTGAATTATGACATGATTCTCAATGAATAGAAACAAGATAGTGTGAGTGAGCCCATGGGTCCGTCAGACCCGCCCACGGATATGAGATAATGGCTGAATATATATACACATTATAATATAATTATATAATTCACTATTTATTATATTTTCTTCGTCTCCCCCCCTCTCTCTCTCTATGTATATATGCGATGTATGAATCTATTCTATCCTATGTTTAGTTAACGAATATATGATAAATGGAAAGACATGGGCACATGGTTTGATCATTCATATCTATATGTAGTACAACTAAAGTTTTAATTTATCCATTTTCTTGTCCTGATGAAAGCAAAATCACAATAATAAGAAAAGTATTCAAAGCTATATATATATATATATATATTGCATTATGGCGACAAGATCTTGTCCAAAGCGGTCTCTTCACTAATATAATTTAGAATCGAACATGATTTTATTTCTGCTTTTGCAATAATAGTAATAATAATAATAATAATAATAATAATAATAATATATTGTAGAATCTTTATCGTCAAATAGTCGAGTATATTAATATACAATCTATCCAATTGACAAAATAAGCATCATGTAATAACGACTGCAATGCGTTGTATGCACACAACAGAGTAAACTGTGTTTTGGGACTGTGACAATGTGGAAACTCACTCAGTTTGGGTGTTATTTTGGAATCATGAATCGTAGTTTTTTTTAATTTCTTACAATAAAAATTCCAATATCATCATTACCTTCAAAATTTGTAACTTGAAAATTAATTTTCATAATAAAACTTGTGATTTAAATTATCTACTAATCACCTAAATTCGATCCAAATTCATCTTAAATTCAGTATAAAATCTCCTATTGAACATACATTTAAATTTAGATATTGTGGTAATTTATACGTAACGACGCCTGAATTTAATTATATAAAATTAATTTATCCTGCAAATACGTTACTCTGTTATTTTACATCGTATCCAACTTAATAAAGAACTACTCCGGTCCCACCTCCTACTTTCCGGTACTAATCGCCACGTCATCAGCTAATCCTTTCAGCACCACGTGCACGTCTCGGCCAATCGCCACGTATCATCATCTCATCGGACGGTCCATATCTCTTCAGGAATCTTTCATCGGACGGCTCTCTTTCCCTGTTTTCTTTCCCTGTTCTGGACTCTTCTATATTTTAAGAGGACGGTAAGCCAAACATGGTTAATTAGATCAATCTAATTTCCTTATTTACCGATTTTAATTAAATATTAAATTAATTATCTCCCAAACTTTTAACAAGTACATTATTCCCATTTATTCACCGTTACTGTAACCACGTTTATTTTAAATTCATATTTTTTGATTAGTTACATAAATGTTTTTGGCCGTGTTATTCCACTTGTACAGTTTACGTTTTATAATTTGAATAATTTAATTTTTTAATCCATTATGGAATTCGTATTTTAATTTTTAGATAAACAGGATTACAAAATTGATATGGCAAAAACAGTTTGGTTGAATTTTCAACGAAATTTAGGTGATCTTGCACATCTATCTATAGTTTGTTATAAAACAAAACTGGTATTACGTGGTGCCATTGAAGCACATTTTTCAATCATATAATTACATATATCGTATCGTAGCAACTTGATGAAAGTATAAAATATTAGTCGGGCTAAATTATACAATTTGCTGACGTGTCCGTAGTAAGATTTATCTTATCAATAAATAGTGAATTTACCCTAACCATGGTTAGAAAATTAACCAGAGTCCTGACACGATTCGAGTTAAAAAAGCGTCCCCCAGAGGAGAGCGAAGCGAAGGAGAAGCATCGAGACACAGAGTCGGCTAAGGCGATTCCTTCCCTCCATTAACGGAGATTCGCCGCTTCCGTGTCTTTCTCTCTCTATCTCTTCTCTCTGTCTCTCTTCGCCGATGATGCCTCTGAATTAGCAATCCGAGGTTGTTTTTGCCGGAGCTTCGCTGTGGTTTCTGGTTTCAGTGTCCGCTCCATCGTCAGATCTCGTTGTCCGGTGAGTTTTTTCCTTTCCAAATGGTTGATTGTCGTCAATTTTGTCGCCTGTGGAGCAAATCAATGTGTTTAATTTGGTATTTATAGGTTGATTATATTGTTTAACCTATCTGGTTGAAGTTCTCGCAATTTGTGCATTTTTCCAGCCTTGGATTTTGCATCGCTTCCATTTTTTTGGGAATCTGGATTTTTTCTAAATTTGATGTTTTTCGCTCCGGGGTTAATCTAGGATAACAAAAGCGAACTTGTCAGTTTTTGGAATTTATTGCTATAACTATTGCTCAAGTGACTATGTAAAGTTTCTTGGATCAAGCTATAAGTGGTGGATTAATGCGTTGGAGGTGTTCACAAGGAAGAATTTTCGCGTATTTGCGGAAGCTGTGTAAGCTTAGATATGAACATGGCCTTTATTTGGACCTTTATATAAGATACTCAGATCTTGGTAGATAATATTGCTGATTCTATATGTGGATCGTTATGCAGATTTCTCTCTTCTTGTTCTGGGGATCAAGCATGGGTTACCCGATGTAGTACCGGGTTGAAATTCTTTCTCAAGCTCGATTCTTTGAATCAGTGGTTCCTGTCTTCTGCTGATTGGGTTGGGTTTTCCACGTTTCATGATTTGTTCCGGTGTCTGTTTCTTCTTTGCATTTGCCCTGTTCGTGTTGGTTTCAGACAAAGGCGCTGGTCTGAGAGGGAACAGTCTCTCTTCTCCTGCTGCTTCTGCTGCTGACCACAAAAGTCCCGTGGTTTCTCACTCCTTTTCATGTCGCGGAACTTAGACAGTCCTGTTCAGACACAGATGGCAGTGGCGGTCTTTAGGACTCCCCTTAGTGGGGAGTTCCATGGGGCTAATAAGATGGAAGAGAAGCAGCATAAACAGCAGCAGCAGCAGCAGCAGCAGCCTGCTGGGCGTAGACGGGTTTTCGTGCAAACTGAAACTGGTTGTGTCCTGGGGATGGAGTTAGATCGGAGCGACAATGTTCATACTGTGAAGAGAAGGCTCCAGATTGCACTTAATTTCCCAACCGAGGAAAGCTCGTTGACCTTTGGGGATATGGTTCTCAAGAACGACCTTAGCGCAGTGAGGAATGATTCTCCCCTTCTCCTGAAGCGAAACTTGATGCATAGAAGCTCGTCTACACCTTGTCTTTCACCCACCGGAAGGGATCTCCAACAAAAAGACCGCAGTGGTCCTATTGAGATACTCGGCCACTCGGATTGCTTTTCTTCTGTCAAGCAAATGGTGAAGGAAATTGTTAAGGCGATGAAGATGGGTGTTGAACCGGTCTCTGTTCATAGTGGGCTTGGAGGGGCATACTACTTTAGGAATGGAAAAGGTCAGAGTGTTGCAATTGTCAAGCCTACAGATGAAGAACCATTTGCACCTAACAATCCGAAAGGCTTTGTTGGGAAATCACTGGGGCAACCCGGCTTAAAACGTTCTGTACGAGTTGGGGAAACCGGATTCAGGGAAGTTGCAGCTTATCTTCTGGACTATGATCACTTTGCTAATGTTCCTCCCACTGCTCTCGTGAAGATAACCCATTCGGTATTTAATGTCAACAATGGAGTGAACGGGAATGGGAACAAACCTTGCGAGAAGAAACTGGTCAGCAAGATTGCTTCCTTCCAAAAGTTCATACCTCAACCGCTCCCTGTTCATAGCGGTCTTGGAGGTGCATATTATTTCCGGAATGTCCAAGGTCAGAGTGTTGCAATTGTCAAGCCCACGGATGAGGAGCCATTTGCACCTAACAATCCGAAAGGATTTATCGGGAAAGCCCTTGGACAGCCTGGCTTGAAGCGTTCGGTACGAGTTGGGGAAACTGGATTCAGGGAAGTTGCTGCTTATCTTCTCGACTATGATCACTTTGCCAACGTCCCTCCTACCGCTCTGGTGAAGATAACCCATTCAGTATTCAATGTCAACGATGGAGTGAACGGGAATAAACCCCGTGAGAAGAAACTGGTGAGCAAGATTGCGTCCTTTCAAAAGTTCATACCTCATGACTTTGATGCCAGCGATCATGGCACTTCGAGTTTCCCGGTAGCAGCGGTGCACCGTATTGGGATATTAGACATCAGGATTTTCAACACGGACCGCCATGGTGGAAACCTTTTGGTGAGGAAGCTTGATGGTATTGGGAGGTTTGATCAAGTAGAGCTCATTCCGATTGATCACGGCCTTTGCCTTCCGGAGACACTCGAGGATCCCTACTTTGAGTGGATTCATTGGCCTCAGGCATCAATACCGTTCTCCGACGATGAACTCGACTACATTCAAAGTCTTGATCCGCTCAAGGATTGCGACATGCTCCGGTCAGAACTTCCAATGATTCGGGATGCATGTCTCCGGGTTCTAGTTCTGTGCACTATTTTCCTTAAAGAAGCTGCTGCTTATGGACTTTGTCTTGCCGAGATTGGTGAGATGATGACCCGGGAATTCCGCCCCGGAGAAGAGGAGCCGAGTGAACTCGAGGTTGTGTGTATGGAAGCCAGGAGATTGATCGCCGAATCCGACGGTATATCTCCAAAGTCGGAATTGGGAGATGCAGAGTTTCAGTTCGATCTGGACTATGATGATCTGGAGTTAGTTTCTGGCCCAAAGATGGCAACTGATGACTACTTCACCAGAAACCCCTTCTCAAACGGGCGTTCCTCACTTGCAAAGCTCCATGAAAGCATCGAGGAGGAAGAGGATGAAACAGAGGAAGACCCGCCAATGCAAGAGAGGAGCTATTTCGATTCAGATGATTATTTTGAGAGAGACCCATCTCTTTCAAAGATTTCGATGTCGATGAAGAACACTCATATAAGCGAGACGGGGCAAAAATACCCGAAATTCAACGGAAACAGAGTAGTAGAGAACACGTCGAGTGCGAACGAGCAGGGACCAGGGATGAGTGCAAGCTTTGTGAAGGTAGCGGACATGAGAGAAGAGGAGTGGGCGATGTTCCTGGAGAGGTTCCATGAGCTGCTTCACCCAGCGTTCGCCAAACGCAAAACCGCGACTATGAGGAAGAGACAGAGACTGGGCACTTCATGCCAGTTTTGAGGGAAGAGGCAACAAAAGGACAGAGACAGGACAGTACGAGTAATATTTAGTACTTAGAGAGACAGGTATCGCGCTTGAGAACAGTACTACTATGGAGGCTTCGTTTGGTAGAGAGAGTAGTGCTTAGTCGTTTGGGGTTTTGCAGGCGATGACGTCACGACCACTCGCTGTGAAAAAAAATGTTTTCTTTTTTAATTTGGTTAACTGATGTAAATACCCTTTGACCCATCAAAGCCTAAAACCGAGGAGGAGACTGGAGAAATTCCCCCCTCTAGATTTCTTTTGTATTTTTTTTTTTGAGAATTGGTTTCTTTTGTGTTCTTTAATTTCCTCTGGCTTTGCATGTTTTATAAATAATAATAGTTTCACGAAGATAATTCTCTCTTTGTCTATGAAACTGGTAATTTTAAGAAAAGAGTTTCAGAGGTGTAACAGTAGTGAAAAGATGATGCCAAAAAATAAAAAAAAAGGACAAAGGTACTAGTGGGGACAAAAGTGGGGGATGTGTCAATTACGAAACAGCTGTTAAGGCCGTCCATAACATAACCCCTTTCATCATTTCGACGTTCTCAAGTCATGGACCCCCACTCCTACATGGCTTTGACCTAACTCCTCTCTCTCTCTCTCTCTCTCTCTCTCTCTCTCTCTCTCTCTCTCTCTCTCTCTCTGTTTATTTTGGCCTTTCGACCAGCTTCTGGGACATAAAGACACGCATAAGTAGATCGTGTCCTTTCGTCTCTCTCTCTCTCTTTATGATTCTATGAGTCGTACATGATGTCTTACGTGGTACATCATATGCCGTGTTATTCGTACTGCAACTTAGTTACTGTTCTCTGTCAAAAAGATTGTATTTTGATTCCGATTACATCCTTTTATACATATATTCCTATATTAATATTCCGATGCTTTTTTTTAAAAAAAAATATTTTGTTTTATATACAACTTTGCTATCTTTTACTGTGAATTTAAAAACAAAAAAAAGGGTTTGGAGAAGCGACAAAAAGGCGATAATTGCTCGTGGGTCGATTTCGAGTTGGTCGCACTCAACGCATACATCTTATGGACTTATCTTCTCGTCGGATAAACATCGGCGTTACATAAATTTCTTCCCCATAATTATATATTTTAGATCTTTAGTCCTTTTCTCTCTCTCTCTCTCTCTCTCTCTCTCTCTCTCTCTCTCTTTTTCGCTTTTCATGATGAGTTGTATATATTGCGTACTACATATATTCTCTATTGAAAAAAAAAATTACGTGATGAAAGTGTCTTTTTTTTTTTCTGAATGAAGATGATGATGTATATGCTAATGATGTGATAACAAGGGATTTTTTTTTAAAAAAAAAAAAGTGCAATGAGAGTATAATGCTTTTGATAATGGTTTCTTTATCGCCAACTTGTTCTTGGTTTGGTATGATGTGAGTTTTGGTCTCTCTCTTATCGTAATAAACCGATAATGCTCGATTGACAAAAGCGTGTAGTGACCATTACTTTTGTCCTCTTGTCCCTCTCACTCTCCCATGTCCAAATGCAATCTCACGGATCATATATTATATATCTTAGTTTGATCAAAAACTCAATTTTGTCTTTTTTTTTACAAGATTTGGTCCAATGAAATTTGAATCCGGGTTGAAACCACTTTGTGCCACCCAATCACTAGGTCACCCCATTTGGGTAACTCAATTTTGTTTTGGTTTCGAATGATGATCTCGATCCATATTTGTTAGAGATAAAAACAAGATTATTGCAATAATCTGAAATCCAAAGCCTTCGATCTTTGAAGTTATGGAATTCTATCTAACGTTCCCCGAGAGTTTTCAACATTCTTATATTCAGATCCCTGGACTCAACTTTTGGTATTGTATTTCTGCTCATCCTCTTTTAAGAAATTGTTTTGTCGGAAATGTGATTCTATGACAAAGATGTTCGATATCTTGATCGGTTCTTGAATGATCTTTCCATAATCCACGACCGAATTTATCATATGACTATACATTCATATATCTATTTAAAGGTACAAAAATTTTGATTTTCATGGCTATACTCAAGGAAAAGTAAGATACATGACTTCATTTTATCAAAGTCCAATAGGAAGAGGAACAACCGAAAAGGTGAACATATATAACAAATACATTCCAAAACGGGACAATATATATATGTATATATGAAGGGATATATGGTTTTAATTAGTTTATATATGCCTCCAAGGTCTCTCGGCGAGGCTAACACACTCACCATGCCTAAAACAATCGACGAGATGATCTATCGTTAGCCCTGCGGCTTGCATGAACGAATATACGATCACCGGACCGACGAATCTGAATCCTCGTTTGATCAAATCTTTGCTTATTATCTCTGCTTTCGGTGTTCTAAGCGGTACGTTCCTCGGATACTTGAACCTGTTGATTACTGGTTTGTAGTCCATGAACCCCCACATGAAGCTGCTGAATGATCCGAATTCCTTCGCCACCTGTAAAATTTTCTTCCTTTGTCAAGTTATCTCAATCTAATAGTTTCCACTTGCTTGATCAATCTATGCCATGCCTTGTAATTTTTGTAACCATTGTTTGCATTTCATCGGAGCTCAAACCCATTGGGGGTGTTTTTGTATAAGAGAGACATTAGGGTCTAATTGAAGATTTTGAATAAAATAGAGGGGCATATTTGAGAAATAAAAATTTTCTTCCTTTGTCAAGTTATCTCAATCTAATAGTTTCCACTTGCTTGATCAATCTATGCCATGCCTTGTAATTTTTGTAACCATTGTTTGCATTTCATCGGAGCTCAAACCCATTGGGGGTGTTTTTGTATAAGAGAGACATTAGGGTCTAATTGAAGATTTTGAATAAAATAGAGGGGCATATTTGAGAAATATATTGCGGAGATACGAGAAGATTTGGTAACTAACCCAAATCGGAATTATAAATCTATTTGTTCCTAAGTATCAGCATTACAGGATTGTACTTTCCTTGTTCTGTTTTAGGTTAGCTTACGTCTCTTACATATATAAAAACTTTGTAAGCTCTGAAAATTCAATAAGAAGAACACAGCCGCATTATGCAATTCTTCATCCTTGCTTGATATTTATCATGGTATCAGAGCACGAACCCTTCTAAATCTTACTACGAAATTTCAATCTCATGACGACCCCGACCCCGACCAATTCACCTCCGACCCAGACCACGCCGCCAACAATGGCACGACCGACTGTTGCTGAACCTGTTCCAGCTCCACGAAGAACTATTTCTCCATATGATTTAACCCCGAGCGACAACCCCGGCCTGATTCTCTCACAGCCTTTGTTGCGTGGAGAAAACTATGATGAATGGGCGATCAATATTCGCCAAGCTTTGAAGTCCCGAAAGAAATTCGGTTTTGTCGACGGAACTATTCCACAACCGATTGAAACTTCCCCCGATTTTGAAGACTGGGATACAAATAACGCACTCATTGCCTCTTGGATCAAGAACACTCTTGACTCCAATATCCGATCTGATGTTGTGCATCGTGAACTGGCCCAAGACCTTTGGGATTATCTGAAAAGGAGATTCGGCAGATCCAATGCTCCTCGACTGCTAAAGATCCGAACTGATCTCGCTAATTGCCGCCAACAAGGGATGACGGTCGCGGCATATTTTGGTAAGTTAACCAAACTGTGGGATGACTTAGCCAATTTCCGTTCCCTCAAGTATTGCAAGTGCAATCACTGTACATGTGATGTTGGCGGGACTCTTGAAAAAGAACGTCAAGAAGACAGGTTATTTGAATTCTTGTTGGGACTCGATGACTCAAGATATGCGATTGTTCGCTCAAACTTACTCTCTCGTCTTCCTCTTCCAACTTTGGAGGAAGCTTACAACATTGTCTCGCAAGATGAAGATGCTAAGCATATCATTCAAACTCACGATGAAAGACCAGACGTCGCAGCCTTTTCAGTCCGAACTTCTCTGAAACCCCGACCTAAAGATGATGACAAAGACAAGACGATCCTCTGCACCCACTGTGGTAGATCTGGCCACTTAGCTGAAAGCTGTTTTCGGCTAATCGGATATCCCGATTGGTGGGGCGAGAGACCACGAAACAGAACAACAGTTGCTCGAGGGAAAGGAACATCATCTGATCGTCCTCGGGGAGCTGTTGCCCGAGCAAACGTGACCCACGTCTCATCTCTCCCACATGCGCCTCCCTCAACGGATGCAGAAAAGCCCATGCTGTCGGGCATTACCCAAGAACAGTGGAACAACCTCATGTCTCTGCTTAACTGCTCCAAAGTCAACAATCAGGAAGATATATCTGGTAAGAAATTTTCAGCCCCTTGGATACTTGACAGTGGTTGTTCTCAACATATGACTGGAATAATCTCGTCCTTGGTTGATATTACTTCTATTCCTCCGTGCTCCGTCATACTTCCCGACAACAGAACAGTTTCTGCGTCTCTCTCTGGATCAGTGATTCTCGGGCCCAATCTACGTCTCTCAAATGTGCTGTTTGTTCCGGGATTGCATTGCCAGCTGATTTCTATCTGTCAGATGATGGTTGACACTGATTGTTATGTTACGTTTGCTCCTTCCTTCTGTATAATTCAGGACCGGACTTCCAAGACGCTGATTGGAGCGGGTGAGCAACGATCAGGTTTATTTTACTACAGAGGAGCGGCTACTTCAGCAGTAACTCGGACACAGAAATCTCAACAAGCTGATCTTTGGCATCAGCGGTTGGGTCATCTTTCTCCAAAGGCACTGTCAAAGATTTCCGCTCTTGATGTTTCAGCTGTTTCATTTTCTGATTCGGATATTTGTGATGTTTGCCTCAGAGCAAAACAAACACGAGAACCTTTTCCATTGAGTCGAAATAAGACATCAGCCATTTTCGAGCTTGTCCATTGTGACATATGGGGACCATATAGATCACCTTCTTTTTCTGGAGCGCGGTATTTTTTAACTATTGTGGATGATTTTTCCAGAGGAACATGGATTTTTTTGATGAAAGGGAAGCATGAAACTCAAACCAAGCTGCGAGATTTTATTGCACTTGTTGAACGTCAGTTTAACGCAGCAGTGAAAACAATAAGATCTGATAACGGCTCGGAATTTATCAGCCTTCGACCTTATTTTTCAGCACAAGGAATCCTACACGAAACCTCTTGTGTAGGTACACCGCAACAAAATGGTCGTGTTGAGAGGAAACACCGCCATATCCTCAACGTTGCTCGGGCTTTGCTTTTTCAGGCAAACCTTCCCATTGATTTTTGGGGAGAGAGCGTCTTGACGGCAGCATATCTGATAAACAGGATCCCATCATCTGTTCTTGAAAATAAAACCCCTTATGAGGTTCTTCATGGCCATTCTCCAGGATATAGCCATCTGCGTGTATTTGGTAGCTTGTGCTATGCTCATACACCGAGCAAAACCAAGGACAAATTTGAACATCGAAGCTCTCGCTGTGTTTTTTTAGGCTATCCATATGGTCAGAAAGGTTGGAGATTATATAATCTCGACACGAAACAGATGATGGTCTCCCGAGATGTGGTCTTTGTTGAAACGATTTTTCCTTTTTCCGACAAGGCTGAATCGACGGCTTCACCAGTAGCTATGCAGCCTACACCTGTATATATACCTGATGATGAAGACCCAGCTGTTTTGGTCCCGCATCCGCTGCCTCAATCTGCTTCCTCGAGCACATCTGCAACCGAGAATTCATCAGAGGAGATTATACCACAATCTCCCATCATGTCTGAACCATCATCGTCATCTTCTTTAGTACCACCTGAAACTGATCCTATGCTTGTTGCTACAGTACCATCTTCGCCAGACACATCCTCTTCCCTGCTACTTGGTCGCGGTCAGAGGCAAAAGTACAAAAACATATTGCTGAAGGATTTTATTACCAACTCTGTGACTGTCGCATCAGGTACCTCATTCCCTCTTGAGAATTACCTATCATATGACCGACTATTTCCCAGGCACAGAGCATTCCTCGCCAGACTCACAGAAGAGACAGAACCCCGATCATTTTCCGAAGCTTCTATAGATGATCGATGGAAAAAGGCAATGTCTGATGAAATCTCTGCTCTTCAACACAATCGGACATGGACACTGGAACCTTTACCGCATCACAAGAAAGCTATAGGATGCAAATGGGTTTACCGAATTAAGTACAAGTCTGATGGAAGTGTTGAACGGTATAAAGCTCGACTCGTTGTCTTAGGAAACCGACAAACCGAAGGTATTGATTACAACGACACTTTTGCTCCTGTGGCAAAAATGGTTACCGTCAGAACATTTCTCGCAGTTGCGGCAGCCCGTAATTGGGATGTTCATCAAATGGACGTCCACAACGCCTTTCTCCATGGTGATTTATCCGAAGAGGTATACATGAAACCTCCCCCCGGATTCCAATTCTCCACACCTAATGTCGTATGCCGGCTTCGCAAATCACTTTATGGGCTAAAGCAAGCGCCACGTTGCTGGTTTGCTAAGCTCACTATGGCATTAACGAAGTACGGTTTCCGACAAACGGAATCTGATCATTCCTTGTTTATTTTGAAGACCACGACCACTCGTCTACATGTTCTGATATACGTCGATGATCTTCTTCTTACGGGTGATTCTCCTCAAGCAATGGTTGACTTCAAGACATATCTGAACCGATGCTTCAAAATGAAGGATTTGGGAAGTCTAAAGTATTTCTTAGGCATTGAAGTAGCCCGAAATTCCACTGGGATCTCCTTATGCCAGCGGAAATACACGCTTGACTTAATTGCTGAGACTGGATTATTAGCCAGTAAACCATCGCAGTTTCCATTGGAGCAACACCATCGTCTCACAATCAGTGACAGTGCCGCCATTCAAGATCCAGAACGCTACAGAAGACTTGTTGGCAAATTACTTTATCTCCTTGCAACTCGACCTGATATCACTTATGCTGTCCACATTTTATCGCAGTTTATGCAGAACCCTCGGGAAGATCATTGGCAGGCTGCTCTCAGGGTCGTTCGGTACTTAAAGCTTAATCCGGGCCAGGGTATTCTATTACGTTCTGATTCTGACTTACGACTCTATGGCTGGTGCGACTCAGACTGGGCCGGAGATCCTCGGACACGACGTTCTCTATCCGGTTACATTATACAGCTTGGCTCCTCCCCAGTCTCTTGGCGTTCGAAGCGGCAACCTACTGTCTCTCTCTCTTCCGCTGAAGCTGAGTACAGAGCAATGGCCGTCACAACTTGTGAGCTACTCTGGCTCAAAGCTCTCCTCTTCTCGCTCGGTGTTCATCATTCTGACGCCATGATTCTCAACTGTGACAGTCAACCAGCTCTTCACATTGCGGCAAACGACGTATTCCACGATCGTACGAAGCATATCGAGGTCAATTGTCATTTCCTCCGACATCACATCAAGAACGGCCTAATCTCGACTCGTCATGTTTCTTCATGCGCTCAACTAGCGGACATCTTTACCAAAGCACTCGGTCAAAAGGAGTTCGCTATGTTCTTAACCAAGTTGGGCATACACAATGTGTACGCTCCCACTTGAGGGGGGGTATTGCGGAGATACGAGAAGATTTGGTAACTAACCCAAATCGGAATTATAAATCTATTTGTTCCTAAGTATCAGCATTACAGGATTGTACTTTCCTTGTTCTGTTTTAGGTTAGCTTACGTCTCTTACATATATAAAAACTTTGTAAGCTCTGAAAATTCAATAAGAAGAACACAGCCGCATTATGCAATTCTTCATCCTTGCTTGATATTTATCAAAATAGAGCTTGCCTTGACAATGCATTTGGCGTTGTCCACAATGCATCTCACTCTGCACTCCTGCAACGTTATTGCTTTGTTTGATGCAATCTCTGTTATCTCTTTCTCTCCCATTTTGGCCACAAGATTTGGATCAAACCCAACAAATGCCTCTCTATTTTCACATTTTAACAAACAAACCCTTCAATGCTAATCAAACAACCACTAAAAACTCTTACTATAAAATCATAGCAAATACAAGTAACATACACGTATAAATGTATATATACGATATATAAATAAATAGATTAAGGAAGATGTATAGTATAAAGTTGTAGGTCACTATATATACAACAATTCTTGACAAGAATGGATACCTAAAAAGTTCTTTTCGTTTGAGAATCTCAGTCCAGTTGAAGTCCATAAGCATGCCCGACATGGCAAGGAGTTCAAACAGCTGGCTGTTTCATTCATCATCATCATCATTCATCATTAGGCTAATTAATTACATTGACTATTGTAATTAATGTACCAATTAAGAAAATGACCAGCGCCCTCAATTCCTATTAAATGATTATATGTTTGTTAAGCTGATTAAATCTCATAATTAGGACTTCATCTTACTTGTCATCATAGACAGGGACCCCCCATTGCTGGTCATGAAAACTCACGTAAGCTTCGTCTACATTAATAAACAAAAGAAACCTTGATGATGATGATTTTGGGTTAAAATCACACTCATTTTAGTGTCACATTATGTAATATGAAGAGATCATACCGCTGTTCTTGGTAATCCAATTACACCTCCTCGGCTCACCGTTGTTTGAATCCAGAGATTGAAGCTGTTCTTGGTGTTGCTGTGGAACGTTTCGGGGAAGATACGGCGTTTCTCTTCTTTGCGGAGAGTTAGAGATGAGGCCGAGGGCGAGAGAGATCTTCTGCTCCAACGTGGAATTAGAATCAGTGGCACCGAAGGAATCGTTGGAGTTCTGAGAAAGCGACAGGGAGATGGAGGAGAGGGAGAAAGAAGAGGAAGTGCTTCGTTGGAGGGCGATGGGGTAGATTCTCTTCAAGTGTTTAGTGAAGAAATTCGAGCTTTGCTTCGTCTCTTTCTCCCTAACGCTCTTGCTCTTCTCCACAACTCTCTTCTTCGTACCTTGTATGTACATGTTTTTCTTTTGAACTAAGAGACAAGACAAGAACAGGCAACACAACTACTTTGTTTCGGATATTTCTATATTGACAGGTTTTGGAACATGCAAAGTGAAGATGTCTCAATTTTTAAAAAAGAAATTGCGAGGGAATTTAAGGAAGTGAGTTATGTGGTTACAAGAGAAGCCACTCCCACCTAAGTTGGTGAAATGTGAATTTCATGTTTGTGAAATTTCACCATTTTTCTCTTCTTGGAAAGATAGGATGATGATCTTACTATATGATAATGGAAAAAGACAGTCCACAATTTCATATTAAATTAAGTCTGTAAGTTTCTAATTATGGATTGGTCCGTAGAATTTGACAGAACGCTCGAATCCTCTTCTTTGTTAAACTATATGGAATATAATATAGCTTCAATGCACATATCACGAAAGGTGAGATGAGAGGTATCATTTGGTAAAATTGATTCCTCTCATTTTGTGTGTTTGTAACATTTATACAAAACCTTCTAATTGTTTTTGTGCATAATTATTATTCGCAAAACTTATATAAAATCAAATTTTATTTCAACCGGTTGGACTATGTGAGTTTAGATTTGATTCAAACCATGCTGATTGATACGGACATGCAGTAATTATATAATGATTTGTGTTGTGTATATACTAATAGTCATGAATTTGGCCGTAAACTAATAGTGTAAACAAATTATTCGTAGCTTCTACGCATTGCGCCACGAAAGCTTTCATGACCGAAATTAACATGCGGTCCATATAGACAAAGAAGTCTCATCCCTCTCATTGTGTTGTTTGCTATTAAAGTAATGCGTATGTGAAAATTGGTACGTAGAGAACGACTCCGATTGCTCAATTGAGCTAAACCGGAATAAATAGAAGATTTCGAACCGGAATTTTCAGTTGAACCGGATTTGGTTGGTTGGAACTTTGAAAGCCGAGAGAATAATGTGCATCAAACCCTAAGACTAAAACCCTGAACCCTTGCCGGGAAACTTTAACGTCTCTCTCTCTCTCCGGCGACCCCGTTTTCTCACCCCCAATCAATCAAATTCGCTTAATTTTCCCGAGAAACGAACTGGGGAACTTCCAAAATTCCCCCTTTCGAAACCCTACTTGCCGAATTCCATGCTCTGTAGACGGATCACCTTGAATTCCTGCAAGGTACTGCGTCTTCTCTCTCATTTTTCTGCCCTCTTATCCACGAAATCCTCCTCCTCTGTCGCAAAACTCTACGAAAGACCCTTTTCCCCGACCAATTTTTCTATAGACCCTAAAAACCCAGTTCGGGAGATTCTTCTGGGGATGAAGACGTTGGGATTCAAGGAGTTTCTCCACGGGCATTGTTTTCGAGGCGTTGTTTCGGAGCTGAGTCAGGTTCATATCGATCAAATCATCAGTGAATTGATGTCCGAGAGCCCTGATCTTTCGGTCTGGTTTTTCAAGGAGTTGAAAGATATGTATGAATTTCGCCATTCGAGGTTCTCTAGTTTGTTGGTTTCGCATGTTTTAGCAGGACAAAGACGCTTCAAAGAGCTGGAAATGATTCTAGTACAATTGCTGCAACAAGAAGGCAAGTCTCTTTTCTTTTTTCTTTTGTGCGGTAAATTTGACTCGAAGCCGTTTTGTAATTGCAACTAAAAATGATGCTTGATTCAAGCTTATTGCAAGTGAATATGGGGAATTCGATCAACAAAATCTCAGGTTTTATTGAAAGCTTAGGACTTTTTTCGAGTTTGAATCGCAATTGGTGTAGATGAATACATGGAAAGTGGAAACCGACTGGACTTGTGTTTTTCTCTTTTGTCTTTGTTAGGGTGTTGTTTTGGTTTGATTTATATAAGAAATGTAGGGATTAAGTCGATGATGAATCTCACGACATGTTGCTGATTATATGTTGTTGTCTGTCTATTAGATTCCTGCCTAAAGATACTTGAAATAATCCTCACTTTCTGGTTTATAGATTTTCATGATTTCTTTTAGGCTCTGGTTCATCAGCTTTTCTTTGTGAGCTTCTCTTAAATTGCTTCAGAGAGTGGGAATCTACGGGAGTAGTATGGGATATGTTATTGTTTCTTTGTTCGAGATCTAAAATGATGCATGATGATGCCCTTTACATTCTTGCCAAGATGAAGGATCTGGACTTGAAAGTCTCGACACATGCTTACAACTCAATCTTGTACAACTTCAGAAACACTGATATGATGTGGGATGTGTACAATGAAATTGATGCTAGTGGGGAATCCAAGAACGATCACACATATTCCACGGTTGTAGATGGCTTATGTCGGCAAGGGAAGCTAGAAGATGCCATTTCATTCCTCAGGAGTTCGGAGTGGAAGGATATTGGTCCTTCTGTTGCCTCTTTCAACAGTATCATGTCAAAATACTGTAAATTGGGTTCTGTAGATATTGCGAAGTCATTTTTCGGCACAATGTTTAAGTGTGGATTGGTTCCCGACATATATAGCTTCAATATTCTTATACATGGACTCTGTCTAGCTGGTTCTATGGAAGAAGCTCTAGGGTTGTCTAATGATATGGGGAAGCACGGGGTAGAACCTGATGCCATAACATACAATATTCTTGTGAAAGGGTTCCATCTTCTGGGTATGATGAGTGGGGGTTGGAAGATCGTTCAAGAAATTCTAGAGGCCAATGGTTTCAGACCTGAGCTTGTGGCATATTCCATTGTAATTCATGGCCTCTGCAAGAATGGAGAATTCGAGTTGGCTGCTCGATTGTTCAGAGAAATGTATACCAAGAGAATTCATCCGAGTTCTATGAGTCATGGTGCTATTCTGCTTGCTTTATGTCGGAAAAGGATGCTACTTGAGGCAAGAGAGCTTCTGGACTCTCTGATATCCTCTGGCTCTGCACTGGATGTTATTTTATACAATATTGTAATTGATGGATATGCAAAAGAAGGTTGCATTGAGGAAGCATTACAATTATACAATCAAGTGATTAAGAATGGTCTAACTCCTACTATAGCGACTTTCAATTCTTTGATTTATGGGCTCTGCAAAACACAGAATATAGCTAAGGCTAGCGTGGTGCTGAATGCCATGAAGTTGTATGGAATAGTCCCAAGTGTTGTGAGTTACACAATTCTGATGAATGCATATGCTGACTGTGGAAATACCGTCGGCATATACGAACTGCTTCAAGAAATGAAAGCGGCTGGAATCCAAGCCACCCATGTCACTTACTCAGTGATTATTAAAGGGTTTTGCAAACAGCAGAGACTGAAAGAATGTCATCAGTTGCTCGGGCACATGTACTCCGAGGGTGTTACTCCAGATCAGATCACTTACAATACTATAATTCAATGTCTATGCAAAGCCAAAGATCTGAGTAAGGCTTTTGAGTTATTCCATGAAATGAAATCTCGGAATCTTGAACCTACACCTGCCACTTATGATATTCTGATCAACGGTCTTTGCTCATACAGTAAACTAAGGGAGGCTGACAGATTTCTGTATTCCCTTCAAGAAGATGGTGTCAGTTTGTCAAGAGTTGCTTATACCACATTAATCAAGGCACATTGTGTAAAGGGTGATTCTGTAAAGGCAGTACGTCTCTTTCTTGAGCTGTTGAACAGAGGATTTGATGTTTCTATCAGGGACTACAGTGCTGTGATCAATCGGCTGTGCAAGAGATTCTTAGCAAGTGAAACTAAATTTGTGTTCTGTCTGATGTTATCCAAGGGGATTTCCCCCGATTCAGACATTTGCAAAGCGATTCTCCGATGTTTTCATGATAAAGGTGATGTCAAGTCAATCGATGAGCTGCTTGCCATGATGATCAAATCAGGTTTATTTCCTGATTCGTAGAAGGCGACATACATTCTTGTCTGTTTTCTGTCTTATCTGCTGGAAAGGACATCCTTTCGGTAACGGAGCTAGTCCATGAGGTAACTGTGTTGTGAGCTTTGTCTATACCAAAAGCCAGAGCTATCTAATGCATGATTCTGTTTTCTTGATGCTCTCTTTTGACAGATTATGAACCAAGCATGCCACAGGATAGTAAAAACTGGCCTGTTGCAGTGCGACCGGATATTTTGAAGGACCGAGGTGTGTGCTATATACTTTCAATTTAGTAGCAAGTCTGATCATCATGTGAATTTCTTCAAATGGCATGTATATTTACCATTCAAATAGTGATATTTTCTGTTCTGTTTTTTAAAATCAAGAATTTGAGAAATTCAGGACGTCTTTATCTTTTCCGTTGCCATATCAACTTACATACTTTTACGGGTTTTGATTCTCCCCTTGTCTAGTTTGTCAATGAAACGAAAGAGCAGCTTTTTACTGGTTTCAACTATGCGGCTGGTGGGTGTGGAATGATGTTTCCTGAAACCAGAATGGAATCTCGGATACAAAAATATGTATGTATGTACATCTTTGCATTGGCTTCAAATCTACTTCTAATATTCAACAAAATTTGACATGAACATTACACTCATTGCATACAGGATATAAGCTGCCTTTACCGCTATGACTTGGGCTATATATCTGATGGAATTTAACCATGACACTGATACATTGCCCATGTTATATCTTTCAGCATTTCTTAATTTATTTTCTTTTGAAATCAGACTCAAAAGTTTCTACAGAAGTTGCACAAGCAAAGAAGTTCTTCATCCACAACATCAGGCCACACTTTGAGAGAGTTTCAGTGAGAAGATAGACCGGTGAAATCAATATTTACCACATGAAGCTTGAAAAAAGAGCCTTTTAGGTACTGAGACTTCATTTATTCAGATTATTTCAACTTGATCCTGTTAGATCTACCGCCTATTCGGGTTTGCTTGAACATTCTAAATCCATATTGCCCTCATGGTTATTACAGTGGAAACTAGCTTTTGCCTCTCACCTGACACCCGGTGCCAATGAAGGGAGACAGAGATTTCTCGATACCCGTTTCATCGGACTCAGATCACAATATTTCACATAGGCGGTCCGCTGCTTCCACGAGACGACAACCTGCCAAGCCTTGAAGATCATAAGACCCGGGTAACTTTGAACTGTAGTAATATTAAACATATGTTTTTGCATTGCACAACAGAGGAAACAACAACAACACACTTGTATATAGTTTAAGGAAAATTCAAGTGAAAAAGCTGAGCATATCAGAAGATATGCTACTACAAGACAAAACCCATATGATATTTCATATATATTTTTTCCATCTTATATATATATATATATATATGTTATACATATTCATATATAGAGAATTTTCTCTTCATGATATGTGTGAATGGGTTCAGTTGTTCTTGGGGGGATGGTGCCTTGCTCTCCAATAATCAGCAGTGTAGGCAACAAGTCCATCCTCATCAACACTTTCTCTTGCCTTTGTCTTTGCGATTGGTGTGTTCTTCGGCATCATCTTTGTCATCTTCTTGCCAAACTCTTCAACATTTTCACTTTCCACGCCATTGTGATCCCCATTCATCAGTTTTCTTCCTCTGACCATTGCAGTGTCGTCATCAATTCCCTGTTTTGCATTTGGTTAATGTCTCGAACCAAATCCATATTAAACAATCGATATTGAACCTTCCACATATATATGTATATACACACACCAGTTTTGGAGGTGGATTCACATATATATATATATATATATATATGTATGTATACTTCGGTGAAGAAATATTTTGTACATTCACCTTTCTGGTTGAAACAGCATCAATACTGGAACCTTCAATCCCGTCTCCTGAGGCGCAACAGAAAAAGGGACAAAATGTTGTCTTCACACTTTTTAACATTATAATATAACCAAAAACAGAAGGAAAAAAGAAAGGATACGTAGACATGCATGGGACCAAAAAGAAACAAAAAGCCCTTGTAAAGTTTCCTCTCACTTGAGATGGCTGACTTATATTGTTTATATGTGCATATATTCGTCCTCGAAATGAAGTTTTACGTATCATAATAAGTAGATTCTAAGTTAACTACAACTTATCTTCGAGAATTATGCATGGGAATATAATCTATACAGTGGTTATAATTAAATTAAATGGGCTTTGGAAAGATATTAATGAACAGACAGAGAAGAGAGACAAACCATGAACAAGTGCGTGTCCAAAGGAGAGATGAGAAGTGAAGAACAAGTGCATAATCATAACCAGACACAGAATCTTCGAACTATTCATGTCTTCTTTTGTTTCTTTTGTCTTCCTTTGGGAGTTTTGCTGATTTTGTGTGTGAGATCGGACGAAGGAGAGTTGTTTGAGATTTTAATTGATTTGATGACAAATCGATCGAGTTAGGGTTTATATAGGGGGGATGAACGAGGAAACATAAGGCCATGCATGGTCAAAGCCCTTTTCTTTTACCGAAACACGTCTCTCTCTATCGACGTGTAGAGAGATAGATGGTTACGAAGTTTTATAATCCTCGATAACCATGATAAAGTTTCAGAAATTTTTACGAAATTGCCATTACTTACTTTCGTAGAAACGGTGAAATATTTGCAGTCAAATAAGTAAACGTGTGAATTCGAATAAACAAATTGTGACATCTAATGATTACGTGGCCAAAAGTCCAACATTCTTAAATTTTGGACAGTTATTTGATTATTAGGTTAAAACTGTTATTGCAGAATTTTTTTATGAAAAAAAATGAAAAGGGGAAGACAAAAATGCATAAATGGTGGATGTAAGCACATGTGTCTCGTTTATGGAAAGCATTTCCATTTCCCAATCTCAAAATTCTTCAATCACAAGAAATATCATACTCAATTCTTTTAGATGTTCTAATTACCTGTACGGACAATAGAACGTGGAAAGAAAATGGGACTCACATCACATGCATACATATCAACATGTACATATATATATATATACATGCATGCGTGTATATAGAAACACATACACCGTCGATAATATTTCAAACAAAATTTACCAAAACTTATCAAATTATAAGAAAACATTTGTATTCTTGTTATATATATTATCATATTTTTTTGACAATAAAATATAAACCAAATAAATAATAAAATAATACCTTAAGTTAATCTTATAAAATTTCTATATTTTTTTTAAATAAAAAATGTTAATGCAATACATCATTAATTAAAAAAAGGCATGTCATAGCATAATCAAGATCAAACTATAAGAAAAAATTCTGAAATTTCTATACCTTCCTTCTCCCGAAATCCCACTATTGAAAAACAAAAAGATACAAAATAACTAGAAGCAAGAAGCCATATCAATCAATAATTTGTGATTCAAAGTAAAAGACGACTTACTGTGGTAAATATTTTGTTAATTAGTATAAGAATAACGTGTGCTTCGTTTCGGTTTTCGAATTAAGAATTCTGTAGATCTTTTTACAGCATGAACAACACTCTCGCACGTATTGGTATGTGAAAATGCTTTGGGAAATGCCAAGGCATCGAACGAGGCGACCGAAATGTGGTCCGTTAAAGGTTGAAATTGGTAAATAAAAAATAATAATAATAATGATAATAATAACGAATTTATAACGTAAAATGCAAGGCAAAATTCGTGTGTGTTTTGTGCTTGTCTGCCTCCGACCCGATTTCCCATAACCAACTTTTTCAAATACTCTCATAATCCATCGTACTTATAAAAATCTCGATTCTCCTTTGGATTATTCGGTTTGAAAATTGATATAGATTATCAAATCTAATATACCTCAAGTGATTCAAGAAGTAGAGTGTATATATATATGTGTATGTATATATATGTGTGTGTGTGTGTGTGAATTTGAGAGTGGACTATGAGATGAATGGTATGAACATGACCATTTCATGAATGCATTGGATTGCTAAAATATATATTGATTCAGCCCAAGTTAACCTAACCTAAGTTTTTAATTTCATTTTATAAAATAACAGCTCAAGATAGTAAGGAAACACTAACAAAATCACTTAGCAAAATCGAAGACGTCGGTCCTAAATTTTTTATATTATTTCTGTACAAATTTAATATATGATTTTTTATTATATATTGTGGTGATTCAGTGGGTGTGTAACCTTAAGATCTATGGTCTCTCTATTTTCCATAATTGGAAATTGTGTCCGTTTCGTTACATGCAAAACACATGCCCTCCACCTATTAATCTTACTAATGACTTGACCCACACGCCATTAAATATCTTGTTTTTAAATGCATATATGAATATATTTGCATACATTTTCCTTGTTATATATATATATATATATAATCATGTGTATAATTCCAAATAAATGAAAAAATCTATAACATCTTTTCTTATCTTTTGACATATGCTATAAGATAATCATACAGTTTTTTTTTTAACCAATATCACGACGATTAAAAATTTGCTCCTGGTAACGTTTCTAAGAACAAGGCTTTGATGGGCCAAGAAAGTAGAGAATTTGGACCCCCGAAGAAACCTTTAACGTAGAATTATTGGGCCTACACATCAAGCCCATTAATGGTCTTTTATACATTAAGCCCAAGGCCCATTCAGGTAAATACAGAGGTATATTTCATTCCTGCCCAAATTATTTTTTAAAATTACGAAATTGTCCATCAATGAGGCGTAAAAGACAATTTTCACCTTCCATTGTCTTTCTTGTCGTCGGTTTTACGAATAGTTTTTAAAAAAAAAATATGATTATAATTATTGAAAAATAGCATTAACGACTATTTGTAGCCAGACATAAATAGTAACACGGAATACAATATTTATCAATTTCTTGGTCGAGAATTGGGATGAAATTGGTGCCGATCCAATTAGTGTATTTATTACGTAATTGACAAATATAATTAGAACTTCTAAAATATAGGGAGTATCCCGCCAATGATTAAGTATTAAAGATATAAGTAAATATAAAAAAAGTATAATTAAGGTGTTAAAATTCGAAAGAAAGGAGGGGCCATTTCCTAAGTAATGATTTGGTTTAGCTTTATGTCCCTCCAATTAGTTTTATTAATAATTCTTTTTGGGCCATTTTCTTCTCCACAGCTTATCATTATCCCCCTTTTCCCTTTTGCATTAAATCTTTATTAGCTTTTTTTATAGCTAGATTTTCTTTTTTTGTGATGCAACGAGCCTCTAGAAACAACATTATATATATATATATATATATATATATTCACAATAACGTTATGTGTAGATGTGCGTGTATTGATATATGCTGTATTTATATGTAAAAAAAATCAAATTGACACATGGATGTAACTATATATATAATATGTATACAATGGACAATGATCTAGTATGAGAATGAGACTATTTTTTTTATTGATCTTCTAATTAATTTATTTTTCACCAATTTAGATGTCATTTTTTTTGTACCATATGTGCAATTTTATATGTTTATGATATAATTATTTGACCACGTACGTAGTATCTGTAACACTGGAATATATACAATTATATTAAGATATATAGATTCCAAGGAAATTAAACCATAACATTTCAGCCCCGAAATACAAATAAATAGAGAAAGAAACCTTAAACCGAGAAATCAAACAAGGAAAGAGAAACAGATTTGTACAATTAGGGGCTAATCTTGTGTTAAACCTTAATCCTAGCCATATTTAGACGAAATAAAGAATTGATTTCCCCTCGCAATTTAACAATCCCTAACATACATTTTCCCCGACAGCCAAACAGAAAGAAAAGACATAACAACCCTATCTCTGTTCAGAAGATATCATCCCACTCACTCACCACTTAGCCTCAAACCAGAGACAACCCAAACACCAAAAAAAAAATCTCAAGAAATGGGGACTGCCACATCGACAATGGCGGCGAAGCTGGCGTTTTATCCGCCGGATCCGCCGTCGTACACGGTGGTGGAGGAGGAGACGACGGGGAAGATGAGAATATCGACGGACATGCTCCGTCACCGGAGAGATGACGTGGACGTCCTCAAGACAGCAACCAAGCGCGGGAACGAAATCGTTGTCATGTTCGTCAAGAACCGTACGGCAAAACTTACCCTACTTTACTCTCACGGCAACGCAGCGGATCTCGGTCACATGTTTCTCATCTTCACCGAACTTAGTCATCATCTTAATGTCAATCTCATGGGGTTAGTTTTTGTTCCTTTCTTCTTCTTCTTCTTATACGCATGAAGACGAAAGTAATTATATATAAGTAATGTTATCTATAATCACGTACGCATGTTGTTATGTATAGTTTATACTTGCATTCTTTGATATATATGATCTCTTTTTTAAACCTTATAAGATATGAAGGGCTATTTACTGAAATTTTCACGTACGACTAGATCGTGTTTGAATCATGTACCTAATCTTTGTTTATTCAAAATATATACTAATCGCGGTCATTATAAACATCCGTTAAGTTGCTTGAATTTGATCTTCGTGGATGGCGAGAAAATTCCATTTTTAATTTGTTTTTCTTGCTTTTTTTTTACTGGTTTGATCCGAGGTTATAAGTTGAAAACAATACAAGTTTCATGAGGAAACGAATATTATATTGGAGATTAATTACTTGGGGTGACTGATTGATTAGATGTCAGACAATCCAGAACATTTTTTTTTAATCTATGATGGATTTCTGTGATGATAATTGCAGATACGATTACTCTGGATATGGCAAATCTTCTGGTAAGGTATGTTCTTTATTCATTATATATATATATATATATATATATAAAAGATTTTTAAATTAATTTTTGGAGACGTTGCTGTCATATCAAAACAGCCACATTAGGTATAACCACGTGTAATAATAATTCTCTTAAAGAGACAAAGGAACAATTTTTTTTTTCTTTCTAAAGGGGCTTCCCACATTCTTTTATTAAATTAGTTTCCCCCATAAATCAAGTTCTATGATTTCGGAATCAATATTCGTTCTTTTATTGATTAACTTATTTCATGGGTGCAAATTTTATCACAATGTTTTCTATAATAAAATCATACATTACAAAACAATCTGTTCCAAGTTTAGAGACTTGCACACATATGATACGTTCTTGTTCGTGTATATAAAAGTATAAACACGTAAATTGATTGGTGTGCATAAACATGGTTTTGGTTTTATATGATATGTATAAATTTCATATATATATATATATATATATATATACACGTGACATTAAAGTGATAAAGTCGGATGATGATTTTGGAGTAAATGTTGAAAGCCAAGCGAGCAAGACACGTACGCGGACATAGAGGCTGCTTACAAGTGTCTAAGAGAAACGTACGGAGTGAAGGAAGAAGACGTGATTCTGTACGGTCAGTCTGTAGGGAGCGGACCGTCTCTAGAACTGGCCACTCATCTGCCTCGTCTTAGGGCTCTTGTCCTTCACAGCCCCTTCTTGTCCGGCCTCCGCGTCATGTACCCCGTCAAGCGATCCTTCTGGTTCGACATTTACAAGGTTCTTTCTTTTTCATATTTTTGCCACAAGTGTTGAATCGAGAGATCGGTTCGATGAACAAAACTAACAATTTTTATTTTCATGCGATGCAGAATATCGATAAAATAGGACTTGTGGACTGCCCTGTACTTGTGATTCATGTAAGTGTTATTCTTCTTTTCTATCACACACACACACACATATATATATATATATATATATATATATATATATATATATATATTATATTT